TTAAAAATATATGATATTTGTAGAACTTTATAATTTAAAGATGTAATAATTTACATAAATGTAATAAAATGAAACAGGATTTACAAAAATGTTGGAGACCAACCAAATAATAAAGTTTCATTATAATATGTTATTTATATTTCAGATAAAATGGACAACAAAACATAGAAACCAAAATGAACGTAAAACTAGACATTTCTTTCTTAATTGTTTGGCAAGAAGGTTCTTATATGTTGCTGCAAGTTCATAAAATAATGATATTTTTGCATTAGAAGTATTTTCGGAATATAAAAGGCAGTCATATTACCTTTTGTATTTATTATCTATTTGTATATTATATATACTCTTATCATTACTTAGAAAACGGTAAAAGAAGAGAGCATGACAAAGATAACGGATTGAAGACTGTTTCTTATCTTTCGTTGTTATTATCGATCAATTTGTAATGTTTTTTCCTTGATGTAGATAACTGTGTAGTTATCACAGTAATCTTGCACTTTTATCATAATAAACTTGTATTTTTTCTTTGCATTTCTATTTCTCTTTCATTACTTTTCTTTAATATTTATAGCAAATATTTTCGTAATTTTCTGTATAAAAACATATTATTCAGACAAAGGTGACATGAAAAATGACTTTTAGTGTTAGGCAAGTGATTATATAATTATCTCAATCAAAATAAAATCTAGATACATATAAAAGTATAAACATATTATGTGGAAAAATAATGGTAAAAACTGCTATAAGGATTAGAAGATATATTAAATTATTTTATTATATAGGACATTATTTTATTTTTTTAATTATTTCTTAATCTATGAACCTATACTATATAAAATATCTATACTATATAACATATTTTTGAATATTTTATATTATTTAGTTCTATTCTATATAACACATATAAGAAAAAGATTATTTGTTATAATTACAGTTGATCATTACAGTTTGATGTATAATGTTCATTAAATATTCGTGAATTCTTTAATACTATAATAATTTTTAAATAATAGTATTGTTTTTTAAACTACGAATCAAAAATTGCGAAACAATTTTTAGACTGATTTAATTTTGAATTAAGGAAATTAATTCCCTCCTTATTATTCTTTTTCTTTTCTTTTTTTATTTTTATTATCCTCATAATAAATATTCGCATGTTAATAATAGTATTTTTACAACAACAATAGTAAAATGAACATGGATATAACAATTATTATTATAATGTAACATTAATTTTAACATAACATTGATTTGTGTCGAGAAATTACTAAAAAAAATTTTTTTCGAAACACTACGCCTCATTGACATATAAAATAAGCAGAATATGGAGGAAATTTTGCAATGATTATATAGTGAATTCTATCTGGCCGCATTATGCATATGAATGCTAAGATCGCAAGAAATTATTAAAGAATTAGTGGAGAGGAATAAAAATAACATTTGATTTATTGTAAAATTACATAAAATCGTATTCTCAATCAATATATATATATATATACCTATATATATATATATATATATATATTCTGTTATTCGAGGAGTGATACGATTTATTTGCCGACCTTGGCTTCAATCTTTAATATTTACAAAGGCATTTTATTAATTTTTATTATTATATAAAGTTACACATATATAATTGGAAATTAATTATAATTAGATATTGATCAATATTTGTCATCTAATAAAACAAACATGTTGATAGACCTATAATACACATATTGAAAGTTAATTTTTATGTGATAGTAATGGCATGAAAATTATGCATTGATTACACAAGAAGAGAAAAATATTTTATATAAAGTAAAATTAAATTTTATAAAGACAATAAGTTTGTTAATAACATTAAAAATGTTTGGTATAATCAATTGATATTATTGATTGATATCAAACAAAAATCTAAAAAAAAAAACTTTTCTTTTTCTCTCTCGAGAAATATTTTATGGAATGTAATAATTTTTTTGTTAAAGCTACATTCTTTTCTCAAAAAAATCTCATGTACAGAAAATAATTAACATTTTCTCTGTCATTCAAAGTACAATATTTTTATTAAAAACTGTACATTACGATTGTTACAGATTGTTTATTACATATTACAGTTCGCACGATTATTAGTTATTTATATTGAGGTAATATTTTACGACCACATTTTACGAAACATATGTACATTTCATACAGATTAAAAGTAACTATCTTATAATTAGATGAGTTTCAATGAGTTACGAAAGATAAGATAGAAAACTTACGATAATAGTTCATTTATCGAAAAATATACAGAATGCGAATAGATTACAAATAGATTATTCGGAGTTCAAAGAGCCATTAAACATTTCGTAGTGAGACGAGTTTGGCGCGCGGCCTTGGTCATTTTTCAAGTGGCGCGCGCCTATCGGCGTACTATCACTGTTATCGCTCAACTCGCGATGCTCGAGCGAACAGATGGTGGTGCGTAATGCTCCGTATAACTTCATCTTCCTTATCATAAACGCAATCGCGACGAGTACTATATGATGCGAAGCATCGTTATACATTGCGATTGTTAGGCTGACAATGAGTTTCGCACACGATCGTAATTAATTCACAATATTCTCGCAAATACAGCGCATCCTGACAATTTGACAGGAGAAGGACGGGAGAGAGCAAAAAAGAAGATTGAAAGAGAAGCATCGAGTGACAGTGCAAGGCAAATCACCTTGGGATGAATAGAAACACGGAAGGACTAATTTTGCTGAATTCTTGCTGAAGATTATAAAATAATTTCTATCCAATAGTCAAAATCATTTTGTGCAAAAGTCAAAATGATTGCTAGAATATCAAAACGTTTTATAGCAATACTCATCAGTTTTAATATTCCAACAAATTATTTTGATAATTCAATAAAAATTATTTTCAGATCTGTTTTTAGCAAAATTTTTAGACCTTTCAACATAATCGTTCTTTCCGTGAATAAGAAATGTGTGAGATAGACAAAAAATGAACAGGTTACATCTTGTTTGCGCATGCTATCAACATTTAAAAAAATCAGA